TTCGTGTTTGATTTTAAAAGTGTCTGCGAGTGCACAGGTATAACTAATAAACCATTTCTTGTAAATTCTGAGCAAAACTTTTCACGACGGTATGTGGAGCTATCCGATAGCGAAAACTGTTTTCTGTTCGGAGAAAAAGATCAAATTAATTTAGAATACGTACAAATGTTCCACTGTGTCTATTAAAACTGCATTTAAAACACCGCAAGAGTCGAAGAGTTATAATAATATTCTAGAAACCTTTGAAATAATATTACAGTTAAAATCGTTCTGGCTCTCTATCCGTGCGGTTTTTTTTTTTTATAATATCAGAACTAAGTACATTTTGAGGGGTTCGAAAGTAGCTCGTCGGTGGCCTTTTAAGTCGTACTTGTGCGTAAATGTTATTCATTTTAAAATCCGTAATTTTTTTTCCTGATAAATTCGTTTTCGAATTCAGTATATCTATGTGTATAAATACCTAAAGCTATTACCTGCAGATCACGATTATCGTAAGCAAAGAGTACAAATCGTGTTTGTTGAGCATAATCCTTATCTTAAAGGAATTGGAGTTGTCAAAATAATATGTAATGTCGATTATCACAAAATTGTCAAATGTGAATGATCATCGCTTAATGAAATACTTCAGAGTATTATGAATTTTTTCATTCAAATTGTTACTAAAGATTTTTTAATTATATTATTTTGATGATCTTTATGACTTTAACACGTGAAAAAAAAATTATTTTTTTAATAACTGTCCTTCCTTAATGATCTCTCGGTTCCAACAGTAAAATAAGTAGCTAAGGGTATTTGTAAATACTTCCACTGAAGTCTATCCAACCCCCGCAAGCCTGTTGCCTCATACTTAATATGTTCTCAACCATTCAGGTGATCCCAAAAGGCATTAGAAACGTAAATGCTGTCGATGATTAAAATTGTTCATTCTCATGAGGTTCCGTTACTGGATGGATTCTTTACGGAGTACTCAGTACTGCAATCCAACCATTACCTACTCATACATAATTTAAGCTAATTGTTAAAAGAAATTATATTTACAGACTGTGTGAATACATTTCTAAATTAAAACAAATAATAATATTAAATTAAATCTTAAAAATGAAACTTATTAAAACTATATAATCAACAAACGCTGATTCAATTCAATTTATTAGCTAATATTTACAATTATTATAATACAAATCTCATAATATTCAATAATTGTATGGTTGTATATCGAACGCATTTATTGAATACAAAAACACAGTTGTACCGTTTGTACAACATTTAAAACGATGCAGTTTATTTATTTAGTTTAGTAATTTATTAGAGCTTGATAGGTAGTTAATAAAAATATACGAATACGTCGATTTATTTGTTTGTACGTCAAAGAAATACGAATCATACTGTTTATGTGGTAGTCAAGAGAATATTTTCGACGATAAATCCCTCGTGAGTATTATTCTCTTCGAGCAATCACTTTTAATATTACAATAAGTCCCAGCGCATACTGAAAGATCAAAACTGCTTGGAGATACTCGAATCATTTTGCTCCAGACAGCTCGGAACAAATTTCATTCGTACCGACAAAACAAAGTAGTGCAAGACAAAACAAACACGTATTAATTTCGAATCGATTTTTGTTATAACATCAGATGTCAATATGAGTTCTGACAAAGACGATGTTGTACATCGCTTTTGTGGGTATTTGATAAAGGTACAAACTGCCTACTCGTGTAAAAAATGAAATCATTTTGTTTAAACTATTTAACTTGACGTTTCTATTCCCATGTTTATTTCGTTCCATAATTTTTCTTGCACGATTCTATTACTATGGTTATAATCGGTAAAATTGTACGTAGATCACCTTAAAGATACAAGATTAATTAATTTCTTTAGATCACATGTCATTTTTTAAAATAATTTTGAAAAAGATTATGAAAATTCACAAAATAAAGTTCAGTTGTAGACTATTCACAAAGATCAACCAGTGACTTTTGTTTTTCATATTTTGCTCGTAAAAAAATAAGAACCATAACGATCAAGACCGATTATTTTAAAATTGAAAATTTTACTCTTCTTGATTTCACTCTATTTAAAGATTTTCTACGTTCATTTCCCACCATTTATTTCTTATATGGACGGACTATTACTTGTTTCTTATTATGCCAAATTCTACTGGTATATATTTAAAAACCCGTCTAAAAATAAATATAAAAACCTAAAACCCAATATTAATATACGAATATTTTCAATGATTTAAATAGACAAAGCAAAGATTCATTTAATATTTTATAATGTCGCATTCGTTATAAATACGAATAGAAATAATAAAAATAACATGTACTTAATAAAACTAGAAATCTAAAGAGTACTCTGGTTTATTACATCATAGATTTGTATAATATCTTCTATATTTTATGTAAATATGTAAACATGTTACATATTTTTTATGTTCTATACATTAAACCAGCTTACAAAAATGTTCACTTACAAGTTAATGGAACTATAAAGTTTTAGATACAATATTTTTATTTTTTATTTTACATTGACACGAAATATTTTATGAAATTTTAAAACCCTACATATTACACATACGACCATCGGTTTTCGTTCCGCTGATTCGTGTACACGCACGTGGCTCAAGAGCACCGCCTGTAATTATTTTTACCGAACGCAGTTCAGAATGTTTTAGCGATTTTTGATGTTACGTAACCATCTCGGACGAACTCAACTCGTGGTCACGTGTTTACACGTGGTATATTATACGTGGTATATTGACTAACCGTGTTCGCATTTTGTACGTGACATGATGACATAATATTCGACGCGAATGGAGTTAGGAAAAAAACAATATACATAAAACGCGGCCAATGATTTCGGGTCGCGTGGCCGTGAGTTTCGAAAGTGTCGCGTGAACAACCAATGTGTATATATTATCGGTGCAGTGCGGTACGTGCTCCAGTTATTCACGATCAATCGAATTTTCATTACATTTTCGTTATTAATAATAATAACTAAAATAACGTAATATTCAGTCACCTCCGACGTTGATTATAAACGTCAAAATCAGATTAGGCTTATGAACGTGTGTGATTTAATCATTACAACTAATAACATACCTCTGAAATAATTAATATTGAGGCCAATGTTTTTGTTACTTCTGTGTTTTGCTTTGATCAACGTACGGCTGTGAATTTAATTGCGTTTTAGTTTTTCCAATTAAAATTTTTATCTTAACGATTTATTTATATTTTCTTAACCTTGCGTACGCCATACTCGTTTGATAAAATACGAATACGGTGCAACATTTTTTGTCATCCAAACACTAGTTGAATCTGAACACTAAAATAACGGTTCACACGGACGATGGAAATGCATTTAGTAGAAATATAAAGCAGAAGCTTTCAAATTGTAATGCACTGTAGGTTACTCGTTTTTCTCATATTATTTTCAAAAAGTAAACAATGAGAGATAATCAATAGTATTGATATAGTTATGAACTTTCCTCGAAAGCTATTGTTGATCAATTTCAATCCAAACACGTTGGGAAAATGAAAGCAACGATTTTCTTTTTCTCTTTATTTTTGTGATTATTATTGTTACCGTTCTACACGAAAGAAACTAGAACCAACAACGTTTTATATAACAACTAATATATTCCAATATTTCGACGTCCTGGTTGATAACTAGTTTGTGATTTGAAGTGAATCATGTAATCGAGTTCCATAAGATTGAGTAAAATCGATACATTGAAGGAATTATTGTTATGATATTGAGGTTAGGTGAAATATTTAGATCAAAACTCATTTTCGAAATGCCACCACTTATTTTTGCCCAATGATTCTGTTAAATTTAGTATTTGTGACTCAATTAAAATGATCGTCAAAACTTTTTAATGGTATGCTAGAATTCAGTGGTGTGCAACCTGAGGATTGCGATCCTTAAAGGGTCATGTAATTTTAATAGAAGGTAATTTAACGCCAAATTAAAAAGTCATACGCCGCGTATAATATTATACATAGATATTCATCTTATTGAAATACATTAATTCGAGGATCGTTGATAAAAAACACAACTACTATGTCAGATTATAGTTAGTCGAAAGTCACATTATTTTAATACAGTAATGATTTTCAATTCGTACGTTCATCAACAAAAAAGTAAGAACTGCATTCAAATTATTTAAAATTTACCGATTTATGTTTGAATTTTTTTTTTTTTTTTTTTTGATTTAGAATAAATGAATAAACAAATAAAAATAACACTATTTTATTGTTGGACTATATCAGTGAATCCTAATATTTTTCTTATATGTACGTTTTCTTTAGTCATCTATAAATAATTCTTCATATGGTATTATCAGTAAAAAGTTTTAGGTTATAACTATAGTTTTTTTAAACGTTAGCAATAATTCATTTACAAAGAAGTTTAACGTTCTAATAATTTTTACTCACCGGTTTTGAATTTTAAATGAAAGAATTTTTGAAAGAAGACTTGGTTTTAGTTTTATAGTCAGCCATTATAATTTATGAAATCAAATTTTGAGCCCGGCTAATAGCGACACCTTTGATGCGTAGCTTAAATTTTGTGTGTTGAAAAGTATTTTGGATAAATATGATGTTAATATAAAATTGAATCTTCATTCTATTTTTAATTCTACTTTGCAATCGTCATAACTCGAATAATCGAATAACATTATTGATAATAATTTTTTGTAAAAAAAAAAAAATGGTGTAATACATTTTCAATAAAAAAAAAAGGCCAAAATTCTTAGTCAGATGAAATAGAAATAATAATATATAAATATAATATAGAAATATAATATAAAATATAATATAGAAATGGGTAAATGATATTTTTGTATTGTTAATTTAAAATTAAAACCAATGAACCATTGTTATTGCAAAAACAAGTTTTCAGTAGATGAGGTCAGTCTACGTGCACGGCCCGTCGCAACAGGTTGTCCGTTCGTAACCGATTTCCTACGCGCGTTCTGTGCTCATATTCAAACCTCGAGCATGGCGCCTATTATAAAGCCGTCTAATCCTACTAACACTGCTCACAAACGAACAGCTAGCATAGCTCTCTCACCTCGGGCAAACTTAAAAAACAAATTCTCACCTTTATTGGATTTAGCAGATACTGACAACGACCAATCAGACAACATAGAAATTGATACGCCGGAGGTAAGACAAAAAATACCACCTCTCTATGTTTACGATATCACAGACTATATTGACTTTCGCGACAAAATAACACCAATGATAATAATTGAGTTTAGCATAGCTAACAAAAATACTGTCTTGAGACTAAATCTCACATCGGTCGATGACTACCGCACTGTCACTAAATACTTCACCGAAATCAAAATAAAATATCACACGTATCAATTACTAGAAGACCGAATCTTATCCGTCATAATTAGAAACCTCCCCACATCTATACCTGAAGAACAAATCTTTAATGCAGTTACTGACTTAAACTTCACTGTAGTCTCAGTAACTCGACTCCAAAATAAATATAAATCTTCCATACCGATAGTAGCGGTACTACTCGAAAAAATGGCAAAAGGCATATTTTCGGTACACCGTCTACTAAACTGCATTATATCTATCGAAAACCGTAAAACTGATTCTAACATACCTCAATGCCAAAATTGTCAAAGATTCCAGCATACCAAAAATTTCTGTAAACTTCCGCCCAGATGCGTAAAATGTTCGGGAGATCATCACTATTCCGCCTGCACAAAAGATTCATCTTTCCCCCTACCTGTGTAAATTGTCTAGGGAATCACCCAGCCAATTACCGAGGTTGCACAGCTTATAAACTATTGAAAAATAAATTGCGTCAAACTAATTCAAAAAACTCTACTACCCATAAGCAGTGTGATACCGAAGTTAATTAATACAGCAACAATCACCCATCCACGTCACAAAATGTTACTTTTAATCACCTCTCTAAGAATACCACAAACCCACCTGTCTTCAGTAATAACAACACACATTCGTATGCAGAAATAACAAAAACAAATACCTACGAACACCAGCAACCACCTCCATCCCAACCAAATATCCAAAGCGAGCTTCTACAGTTACTAATACCCACCATCAATTCTCTATTACAAGAAATTATAAAAAAAGTCATCGAATATATCTCAACGTTATTAAGTCAAGTAAATGGATGTCAACTTTAATAATATTAATAATGCAAATTTAGTTATCATAAATTGGAATGCCAATGGCCTTAAATAAAACAGAAATACTTTCGCTGCATTTTTGAACACTCATAATGTAGATATAGCCTGCATCAGCAAAACGCATTTAATTAATGCAGATAAAATAAAATTTAATGGCTATGTCACTTATCGTAAAGACAGATTAGCAGTTCGACCTTCAGGCGGCGTAGCTATTATAATTAAATCAAAAATAAAAAACCATCACACTTTTATACCTGCTCTACAATCACTGGAAGCAGTAGCAATCAATATATATATATATCAACAACGTAATTACAACTCTAATTAGCGCATATCAATCACCAAGTTTTAAAATGTTCACAAATGATTTCGTAAAAATTCTTTGCAGTTTTCAAAAAGTAATGATTATTGGTGACCTGAACTCCAAACATACCACTTGGAACTGCAAAACGACAAATCAAAATGGTCGTAAATTATATAAATACCTTTCAAATATTTCAACAATTATCTCTTCACCTGACTCCCCGACGTATTATCCATATGACCAAAATAGAAATTCTGATATACTAGACGTAATATTATTAAAATCAATACCTCTATCAATTCATCAAGAACCCTTATTTGAACTTGACTCAGACCACTTGTCGATAAAAATTACAATAGGAGGCGCCCTAAGTGTATCTACAAAATCACGTAAACTTATAAATGGCAAACCAAACTGGGAAAAATTTAAAACTTTATAACTCGTAGTATAAAAATCCCGAAAAAACATAAATAACACTATTGCAGCCGACGAAGCCACAAACCATTTTCAAGAAATTATTCATCTAGCAGCGGAACATTGTTCAAACCCGTCTTGTAACATATCCCAAAATTATACATTTTCTCAAATACCTTCTTCAATTCTAAAATTGATAAAAATAAAACACCGAACCAGGAGACTGTGGCAGCTCCATAGATGAACTGAAGACCGGAAAAATCTTAATTATCTCACTAAAAAAATCAAAATTTTACTCGAAGAACAAAGAATAGCTTCATACCAAAATTACTTATCTACAATTCATCCTTCGGACTCGAACTTATGGCTCGCTACCAAACGTTTAATCAAACCAAACGCTGGTGTTATACCTCCGTTAAAATCAGATAACGTCTACCTAAACTCAAATGCTAAAAAATGCGAACTTTTTGCCAAAACCTTAGAAAATACTTTCTCACAGAACAATATTGTAGATACCGAAACGGAAACCGCGGTGTGCAACAAACTAGTTGAACCAGATATTCTTCCACAAAACATACTTCCCTACACCACTCCTACTGAAGTTAATGAAATAATAAAAAGATTATCAAACAAAAAATCTCCAGGACACGATCTCATCACTAATGCTATATTAAAAAAATCCCAATAAAAGCAATCACATATTTGTCTATTTTATTCAATTCATTAATAAGAATCGGCCACTTTCCAACTGAATGGAAAAAAGCCACAATTATAATGATAAAAAAAACCTGGAAAAGATAACACAAACCCTAACAGTTACCGGCCTATAAGTTTACTATCTTCAGTCTCCAAAATATTTGAAAAAATCATATACACCAGGTTAACAAAACATCTAGATGCAACCGAAGCCATTCCACATCATCAATTTGGTTTTAAACCAAAACACTCAACTACTCAACAACTCCTACGCCTAACTGAACACATAAATAATGGTTTTGAAAAAATACTTCATACCGGTGCAGCGTTTTTAGATATTGCGCAAGCATTCGATCGTGTTTGGCATGACGGCCTTCTGTTCAAATTAAAAACATTAAATACCCATCCTGCCATCTTTAATATAATTAAATCCTTCCTCTCTGATCGCTGTTTTGCAGTTCGCATAAATGACACCAGTTCAGCAATAAAAAAAATAACAGCCGGTGTTCCCCAAGGATCAAAAATTTCTCCCCTGCTTTTTAATTTATACATCGTGGACTTTCCCACTACATCTAACACAGAAGTTTCTCTTTACGCTGACGACAGTGTTGTCTATCCAAGCTCCAGTGACGTTCACATTGTCACTGAAAATATACAGAGCCACTTAAATAAAATAAAATGCTGGGCGAAAAAATGGAAAATTATCTTAAGCCCCTCAAAAAGTACAGCAGTATTATTTACACTTCGTCGTCCCAATAACCCTCCCTCTCTAGTACTTAATGGTGACAACATATTCTGGTCTCCAACTATAAAATATCTAGGAGTTATCTTAGATAAAAAATTAACTTGGAACCCTCACATTTCTTCATAACTACAACAAGGCTACCAACGACTTAAAATTCTTTATCCCTTAATCAACCGTTAAACCGCCTTAAGCTGGAAGTGCTCCGTGCTTCTTTATAAGCAAATTCTACGACCATTAGTACTCTATGCTGTCCTTATCTGGGGAATCTGTGCCAAAACTCACATAAATAAAATTTAAGTTTTCCAGTCCAAGTTTTTACGCATAATATCCAACGCGCCGTGGTTCATCAGAAACGAAGCACTTCATACAGACTTCAGACTCCCGATGGTTAAATCCTACATACAGAATCTCTCAATCAATTTTTTTGGCCAACTTAACAACGCCAAAAGTGCAAAGTACTTAAAACTCAGCGATAAGCCTACCCTCCGGCGCCTCAAGCGCGGCCGTCCTCATGATGCCCTTTCTCAACACCAATAATACATAAAAAAAAAAAAAAAAACACCTAGTTTAACTATTTATTAACTATTTATTATTATGTCATATTTGTAACTTGTTAATTCATCTATGTAAATTACTGTATTTTTTGTATTTATAATTTACTATAACAATTATTGCATGTTAAAAATGTCTTCATATCAATAAGTTAGATGACCTTGATGTCAGTAACACTTTATTAATAAAAAAAAAAAAAAAGTAGATGAGGTCAAACATTTTATACTTCTAAAGATGATATGATTGACAAAAGATGGGTATGTTTTGGTTGAATTAATCGACTGTTTGCAATTGCCTTAATATAAATTCGTTGAAGTATCCAATTTCGTCACTGTTTCATTTTGTAACACTTAAAAAGTATTTTAGCAATTTCCAGTATAAAGTATACAATTTGAACTTTTATGAGATTTTAACAAAAAAAATGTAAAAGATTTATGCATTATTATCATTTTGTTAAAATTTAATATTGAAACGCTTGTAATTCTTATTTATTAAATTAAGTTCATTTTTTTTTTTTTATTAATCAGTAATATATAAATGCATGCGGCAATTTGTACTACATTTTTAAAACCTTTTGTGAAACAAAAATTTTTGTACCAATATTTTCATATAAAAGCTAAGAAAGCATGAATATCTTTCAAAACGTAAAACAAAATCTTTTGAAAATTTTACCATAGCAAACGTTGACATGAGCAATAAGTGTACATTTTATGTCACTACAATTCTTATCCTATGAGTTACGAAGGTAAAAAATTCGATTTTGTAGAAAACTGATATGTCGTAAAAGATGTTGTATTTTACTTTTATTCTGTATTTTGCAATTATTCGGAAAACTGTTGAAAATTTCGAATATCACTTCACAAAAGTACTAAATAAAACCCGTTCCATATCATTTCTTTTTTTCTTTGGTAATGATCGGAGTGGTCTTTTTGGTCAAACCGTGTACACGGATACAAAAAAAAAAAAAAACAATTATACTAGGTATACTACCAATACATTCTTTGTTTCATTCTGAATATAAAAATTAAAACATGATTATCATTATGCAAATGAATATTCATATAACATAAATATTAAAATATATCTTTAAAATAAAAAAAAAAACATAAAACAATCAATGTATAATATTTAAAGTAGGATTTTTTAAGTTTTAATGATTATAGTTTTTTTTTTTTTTTTTGAAAATAATCCATGTTTTTATTTAATTTTATACAGTTATTATAATTATATATTCGGCGTATAGTCAAATGCATTGAGTTACGTTTTTGATATATATATTTTTCGAATTCGTTCATTAGTTTATATTCAAACAAAAAAATAAAACAAAAATTCAAACAAGTGTGTAAAGAACGAAAGTATAATGTCAAAGCATGTTTCGATTTTCTATTATCCTGCTACTATTATTATCACCGCGGAGAATTATTTTATTTACTAAGTAAAATATTATATTTTTAATCGAAATACTATTTTGTGGTGATTGTACATTATAGATATAAATATTGTTCGACAAATATTTTCTCTCATAAAAATATATATTTTTCGTTCGAGTATGTTTTTAGTTTGATGGGCGTGAACGGAAATTTTAAATTTATTAGCTAATTGATTGATAACCATCTTCGAGGGTAGTTGAAAAAAAAACAATAGGAGTATTCTTATGGACGGTTTGACATGCGAATAATATAATTAATCATATTAACACAGTGGCTTCCTGAAAAAATAATAATTAAAATAGGTTATTTTACTGTTGACCTATTTTAATCGGACATTTGAAAGAATCATCTTGGATACGTTGCACATTTTTAGGAGTGCTTGTCCCTGCTTAAAATTAATTAAAAGTATGCCACTATAATATCGCGTATATGTGTT